GAAAGAAAGAAAGAAAGAAAGAAAGAAAGAAAGAAAGAAAGAAAGAAAGAAAGAAAGAAAGAAAGAAAAAAGGAAGAGAAGGAAGAGTAAGTAAATAAGTAAATAAGTAGGTAGGTAGGTGAGTTAGAAAGGATAATGTTTGTCTCCCATGATAATCTGCAGTCAACAATTCAAAAAAGAAGAAAACCTTTGCATACATTGGTGAAAAGGCTAAACGCAAATGTTTCTGAGGTAAAGAAATCCTTTGGAAACTCAACTCAGGCTTTGCTTTTATTTTGTCTGCATACATTTGGGAGTTTTCAGAGAAAAATTAATCAATCCCATTGTAAATGATAATAAGCCTCTCAAGACCTCACAGGTAAAAATCCTGATTCCTGGGCAAACACTGTGTTTAAATGAAAGAGATGCCAAATGGTGCTAATTAGGAAAGACAGAATGTAAAACAATTGAGGGCTTCTTTAATTTGAAGCATATCGCTTGAAGTAGAACGATTATCCTATTATATCACTAGAATAGTGTGTGTGTGTGTTGCTGCTTCTACATCAGCACTAAAATCAAAGGGTAAATCTTTTCCTTTTCCTTACCCTTCTGTGAGAGAAAATACTGTATTTTTTGGAGTATAAGTATAAAAAAAAGTTTTTGCACTCTGCAAACCTCTCAAAAATGATCCTTTTTTGCAAAAATTCCTCCCCACCAAATGGGCATGAATAGCTTTTAGGAGGCTTCTAGAGTGCTCCTGGGGGTGGGAAGGCCCCCAAACGGCCCAGTTTTTGCAAAAACAGGCCTGTTTTTTGTCAAAAAAAAGGGCAGGGCAGGGATAGCCTTTAGGAGGCTTATAGAGTGCTCCGAGGGGCTGGGAGGGGGGCGAAATTTCTGCCCTCCCCAGCCCCCAGAAGCACTCTGGAAGCCTCCTAAAGGCTATGCACGGCCATTTTAGTGAAGGGGCAGGGTTTCAGGAAGCAAAAATAATAATAATGCTGTATTCAGTGTATAAGACGCACCCAGATTTTCAGCCTCTTTTTTGAGGGAAAAAGGTGCGTCTTATACTCCGAAAAATATGGTAGGTTTTTCTCTACTTGACCCAAGACATGGCAATTATGGATCCAGAGCTGGAAACTCTGTAGAGATTATAACAAAATCATTCAGTCATCAGGAAACATTTAATTAACATTCGTATCTTCAAATGTTTACTGGGCTGAGGAGGTGAAATTCCAGTATGGTCCTGGAAGAGCCAAGAATGAAAGATCTTTTCTCCGTGTTCCCTATATTATCTCTCTGGNTTTTTTTTTGAGGGAAAAAGGTCCATCTTATACTCCGAAAAATACTCCAAAAAATACAAATATATGATCTAGCATTATGTCTTACTCAGAGATGCAACGTTGCTCAGTTTAAGGTAATTAAGTTTTCTTATTTAAATACAAGTAGTCTTCGACTTACAACTGGTTCCTTACCAACTGTTCAAAGTTACAATTGATACGCCAAAATAATTATGTCCTGATTCTGAAGATCTGAACAGTTGGCCCCTTCTGATTACAGGACTGCATTTTGTGTGCTTGATAACCAGTCTGCATTTCTGACCATAAACCAGGGGTGTCAAACTCAATACCTGAAGGCCAGATCCGGCCCACGAGGTGCTTAGATCTGACCCATGGGCCTGCCTTGGAAACAGCAAAAGTACCAGCCTGTGGTGCCTCTGCCATTTAAAGGTCGCTGAGCCAGGGCTTTCTAAAAATCTTTCTGCAGTCATGTGACCAGGGCCTTCTGTTACCTTCTGACTGAAGTGGTACCTATTTATCTACTTGCATTGCATGTTTTTGAACTGTTAGGTTAGCAGGAGCTGAGATGAGGATGGGAGCTTGCCCTGGCACATGGCACCCAGGTCTCAAACCTGGGTGCCAGTTTTCCAGCCAACAAACCCAAACTCTCTGAGTCTCTGTGCCACCCTGATATGATCTAGCAAACTAGTTAATTTCTCTCCCTTCCTCCACCCCCAAAGCTAACCAAGTTTAAACATTTGATGTGTCTTGTTCCACTTCCAAAAAACATGGCACAATCTTGCGAAGGAGATACTGAAGGTCCCGCTATTGTTCTGTTGGCTGCAAGGCCCATTTCTACATCAAAACAAACCAGTTTTTAAAGCAGAGACCATAACCGCTGAATAGAGCATTTTACCAACCAATAATTAAGCCCGTGTGCAAAAACTAGAGGTATTAAAATGCGCTGAGAAGTGAGGATCGCAAACTGAAAGGAGGTACAACTGAATTTGTGTTTTGAGAATAAAAGTTAATGAGATGCAGCTTGTTCCAGTTTGTAAAGCCTACAAACTTGAAATTTGGCACATATGTTCCTCTTGGCTTCTAGGTGCTCATTAAGAAAGGATTTTTCAAAATGATCATCAGATCATTAGTATCTTTTTTAGACAGTAATTCATGCTCTGATGCTAAGGAGTTCTACTCCCCCTCCCCACCTGAAAAGAACTCTGTTCCAACTGCCAGTTGCCTCACATTCCGTTACCTCAGTTCANCCCATCCGGTCACATGGGTGGCAAGCCACTCCCACAAAGGAGGCCACACCCACAGAGTAGGTTCGAACAATTTTTGAAACCCACCACTGGTAGCAACCCACCCCTAGCCTGTTGGGCCATTTTTCGCCCTCTCCAGGCCCTTTCCGGGAAAGCCTCAGGAGCCTAGGGATGGCAAAAAAAACAGGCTCACAAGCCTACCGGAAGTTTAGAAAGCCTCCTGAAGCCTGGGGAGGCGGAAAATGGCCTCCACCATTCTCCGGAAGGCCGAAAATCAGCTAACCAGTGCATGCATGTGCGCTGGAGCTGACATTGAGCTATGCTCTGTGTGCCCTCAGATATGGCTCTGGGTGCCATAGATTCACCATCACAGGTATAGGCTGTTGATCTTAGAACATAGAACATCATCAGAGTTGGGAAGGACCTTAGAGGACTTCTAACTCCTTGCTCAAGCAAGAGACTTTTTATAGTTTGGGACAAATGGCCATCCAGTCTTTTCTGGAAAACCTCGAGTGATGGAGCACCCATTCTGGAGGCAAGCCATTCCACTAATTAATTGTTCCGACTGTCAGGAAAATTTATCTTTAGTTCTAGGTTAGGTTTTTTTTTCCTTGATGGGTTTCCACCCATTGCTTCTTCTTCTGCCCTCAGGCGCTTTGGAGAACAGCTTGACTCCCTCTTCTTTGTGGCAGCCCCTGAGCTATCAGGACACTGCTATTGTGTCATTTGATTGGATCAAATTGCCTCAACATCCTATTTTTAATTCATTTGTGGGTCCATAGAAAGCTAATTCAAAAGCTGACAAGCAATTCATATCAACAATCTACTGCTATGTACGAAGTGTAGAATTATCCTTCCAACGTTGCACAATGATTTCTTTGGCTCTTTTCCACATGTGGAAAAACCCACAATTGTTGATGTCTTGACAACCTCCAAATATTTGGGGGTAGGGCCAGAATGAACATATGCATCCTTGACATGCAGCGATGACTTTAGAGTCATACAGACAATCCTGTGAGTTTTCAGATACAAATGTGACGATTATAAGCTACATCCAAATCACAAGTTCCGTTTCCAACTCTTGAATGGCGCTTATGAATGATCGGGAAATGCTGCTGTATGTCAGCTATAAAATTCTAGACAGATTCTTTGGAATCTGATCAACCACTCCATCATAAGGGAGGCCAATAATGATTTTAACATACAGTATCATCAAAAACCTGATCTCTGTTTCCAATAAAGAGTTCCAAGATCCGAAATAGACATGGTCTATTTGTTGTGGCCTGCTAGTGGCCAGTGGAGCTGGTGGCAAACTCATACAGTGAGAAGGTTGGGGAGGAACATGGGCCAGTCCTGAAGTCTGAGGAAGGCTCTAATAAGGGCTCTGTGTCGGAGGCAGAGATGGGACCAAGGCCCATCCAACAGTTATCATCTGCCTTCGGAGTTGGAGATCAGTGGGGCAGAAGAACAGCTGGAGCCTGTTCCCGATGTCTGCATGCATAGAGCTGCCAGGAGAAGGGAACAATTAAGGAACAAGGGCTGACTCGGGAGTAAAGGCACAAGTGGAAGGTGAATGGCCCCTCCCATAGGGAATAAAAAGGTGCAAAAGGGGAGTGGAGTTTGCAGGGGTCAATTTGTTTATTTAATTAGTGTGAAGATTTGTTCGTGACTCTCAGAGATTCCTTGCCAAGTATTTCCTTATATAGCGTTGCGTCTCGAAGATATTGGCCTGGCAGCTCTCCAAGCCTGATAAGGTCTGTGTTGGCAATTCACCTTTGAAAGACTGTTTGCCGGGACTTTGCTGGATGTGAATGCTGAGAATTCACATTAGCCAAATAAAAAGGTTTTTTGGGGGGGTGACAAGGAGTCTGTTTCATGATTTGGTGAAGCCTAGGTCAGAACACTACCGTATTTTTCAGAGTATAAAACACACCAAGGTTTTGAAGAGGCAATTTTTTTTAAAAAAAGGTTTTGCATTCTGCAAACCTCCCTAAAATGGCCCATTTTTCACAAAAATGGGCCCTTGTTTTTTTCAAAAAAGGGCATGAATAAACTTTACGAGGCTTGTNAGGTGGCGCAGTGGTTAAATGCAGCACTGCAGGCTACTTCAGCTGACTGCAGTTCAGCAGTTCGGCTGTTCAAATCCCACTAGGCTCAAGGTTGACTCAGCCTTCCATCCTTCCGAGGTGGGTGAAATGAGGACCCGGATTGTTGTTGGGGGCGATATGCTGATTCTGTAAACCGCTTAGAGAGGGCTGAAAGCCCTATGAAGCGGTATATAAGTCTAACTATTGGTTATCCCTTAAAGGAGGGGGACACCAAGCTCACACCCCTTCTTCCCGTCATCCCTACCCAGCCGCCTGCAGGTCTTCTCCGAGCAGTGTTGTCCCAGGTCTGGGAATTCCATTTCTTCAGAAGCCCCCAACTCCCCAGAATTAGGGTTACCCTAGAAGGAAAAATTTGGTTTTCTCACAGGAGGCACAGCAGCAAGATTCACACCCAGTGCTGACACGTGGGACTTCTGTAGTCCCTGTTAAGTCACATTAAAAATAAAGCTTCCCCTCACACATCTGTGCTAGGCGTTCCCGACTTTACGGGGCGGTGCTCATCCCCGTTTCGAAGCCGAAGAGCCAGCGCTGTCCGAAGACGTCTCCGTGGTCATGTGGCCGGCATGTCTCAACGCCAAAGGTGCATGGAACACTGTTCGCTTCCCACCAAAGGTGGTTCCTATTTTTCTGCTTGCATTTTTTAACATGCTTTCGAACTGCTAGGTTGGCAGAAGCTGGGACAAGTCACGGGAGCTCCCTCCGTTATGCGGTGGTGCTAGGGATTCGAACTGCTGACCTTTCTGATTGACAAGCCCAGTGTCTTAGCCACTGGCGTCCCTCTTTAAGTCACATTAGCTGATGTCAAATACCCCAATTAACCCAGAATTTCGCTTTACTGTAAAAATAATACCCCACAGCAATCATTTAAATGGGAGGTGTCCAAGTTTAACAACTTTTAGGACCTGTGGACTTGACTGACTGGGGAAATCTGGGAGTTTGTCCACAGACCTCTGACTGACACGATAGCAAAGATTAGAACTCGGGGCTAGGTGTGAACACAACCAGGTTTGACCTCAGCCATCCCTGTGTCAAAAAACCCCCCAAAGTTCAGAATCATAATAAAGCTGGAAGGGACCTTAGAGGTCTTCTAGTCCAGCCCCCCTGCGCAGTCAGGAAGCCCTGCCTATACCATTTCAGATAAATAATTGTCCAATCTCCTTAAAACCCTCCAGCATTGGAGCATTCTCAACTTCTGGTGGCAAGCTGTTCCACAGGAAAAAGTGCCACATAGAGTTGGTGCTTTGGAAAATAAATTAACCCTCTTCTCTTTCCCACTAAGAACCACGATGAGCCCCGGAAGTTCTAAGTCGTAGAGATTCCCCTTCAGAAAGCCACATACGCTTAATAAATAAGACAGAATTCGAATACAGAACTTCAACACAACCACTCTACCCAGGATTGCATTCTCGCAACGACTTTAAACCTAGTTGGCTAAACAACCCCAAAGGGAGAGGACTGACCCAACACAAAAACGCACAAACCCCAAGAGGAACGGATTCACACAACTTACTTAGTCAACCCCACTCCACTGAGTTTAGCAAGTCGTCGGAACGCACTCCCGTGTCGGTCCTCTCCAAGGTGGGCGAGCGTGGAAATAAACCTCGCTAAAGGCACAGGAAAAAAGCCGGTGGTCCGTATAGACTGACACAACAACACACAACACACAACACACAACAACACACAACAACACACACAAGCGCCCGTCTCCAGCCCCGCAGCGCTCGGGCGCTTTATGCCACTGAGCGCGATTTTGCTGAATCATATTCTACTGCTGTCTCTAGGCCGCCCAATCAGAGCCGACTTTGGCAACGTCATCGACCAATCACGGGAAGCCCCGGCTTTGCGTTTCGCTGAATCAGGGCGTCCCGCCTCCTGGCTGCCCTAAGCGTGAGTTAGCTTTCTTTCTTTCTTTCTTTCTTTCTTTCTTTCTTTCTTTCTTTCTTTCTTTCTTTCTTTCTTTCTT